CTCAACTTTTGCCATTGAAACTCATGCAGTTTTGCCCTGTGAACGAAGTGCTAGGGAACCCAAGGAACGCTACGATCATTCGTACCGCCCGTATTTTTCCCATAGTCCAGCTCCGTTGTAGAGTAACTCTTCGCATGGTGTGGAGAGCGTGGACGGCTCTGCGGGTTACCCTCGGATAAGTAGCTGACTTATCACCTACCTAAGTTGTTCGTAGGCCGGCAGTTCGTGCTGACGTTGGGAGAAGCCGGCAGTGTAGAGGACACCTTGGAGATGCCATATATTGTATGTCGCTTGCTCGGCTATTTCGCTTAGTACGCAAGTTCTCTTCCTTATTATGTTTGTCTAAGCCTATGTACCAAGGCACAAAGCGTTCGGGGGCCAACAAAGATATTTTCGAGATGACTTCTTCTGATGAACCTAGGACAGCCAAGCTTGCAAACCTTTGGGTTCACAAAGCTTTTCGTGCGTTTTTTTGTGGCAGCTTCTTTACTTATCTCAGGTTCGTTCCGTTAGGACACCACCGCAAGCAACATTATTTGTTTGTGTGTCGCTTCCGCTTGCTACGCAAGATGTGTCATAGCAGACCGGCGACGGTGCCTACGTTTTCATGTATGTCGCTTGCTCAGCTATCTCACTTAGTACTTCATGCGGATAATGTTAGGAGACGCCATACGGCTGGCGAGTTCGGCGAGGTTCCGTTGGAGTGGGCACTCCTAGGCACCCGCGCGCAGTGGGCGCGCGACCACCCGCCTCCCCGTGCTACAGCAGACGATGCGTCCGCCTCTCCTCGACCGTTACGCAACGAAGGCGGCATTGACGAGCTGGTCGACGGCAGTGACCAAGTCGGCAGCGACGAGAGCACAAGGGCGTCGAGATGAATGATCAGGCGTGCTGACGTCAAAGTAGGTGGGATACATGCACGAGTGCAGCGGTCGACGCGGACGCGGGCAGCTCGCACGGCGACGTCGACGGTCGACTTCGCTCCCCGCAACGGAGCGGAGTCAGGCCAGGCTCTTCAACGCACGTGTCGGCGGGCGGGATCGCGCCAGCGTACAGCTACTTGAAATTTACGACGGACAAGATTGATGTGCCCGTGCTTCTGGTGGGTCGACATGATCTTCTCATGTGGAGGGAGTCGATCGAGCCTCAGCTGGAGATTGTCGGGCTGAAGTGCTTCGCCGACGGCAACGTAGAGACGCCAGATGTGGTTGACGTTGAGTTGCGGGCGGAATTCCGCACCGCTCACCTGCTGACCTACCTGGTTATTTCTTGATGCTGCTCGCTGATGGTGCAGATTGTCGTGAAGTCGGGTCGACTTCTGCTGGACTCCGGCCATCAGGCATGGCAGCTCATCCTGTCTTCGTACTAGTCTACCACCAACTTGTACACGGGTCAGGTGGGAGCACCTGACTCACCTTAGGATGGGCGAGCAGGAGTCGGCGACGGACTACTCCAACCGTGTTCGACAGATCCTGGCCGACATGCGGATGGTCGGCATTGACTATTCGACGGTGTCTTACATCACGCACGTCGTGAAGGGTCTTCCGTCGAGCTTCAACATGATGCTCCGGATGATGATGATTCACCAGTCGCTAAACGAGGACACGCTGACCTCGCACATCAGCAAGGACAAGGCCATGCAAGAGGTCGGGAGGCCCATGATGCTGCTTCCGCAGGCGAATTACGCTACCCCGAAGAAGCAAGGTCGTCAACAGGGGCAGCGTGGGACGTCGAGCGGAGATGGTAGCGGAGGTGAAACGTCGCCGACCGGTCGAAGTTGGCATGGGACATCAGTCGAAGAAGCGATGGTCGGCGACGCGAGTGCTGGATCAATGGCAACCCGACCACCTCTTTTTCGAGTGTCCCGATTGCGAAAAGTCCGAGGATGAGGACAACGGAAGCCACATGAAGTACGACGGTGGTCGTTGATGTCGGGACAGCCAGTCGCGAAAGGAGAAGTAGGCGTCGAAGTCGACGTCGTCGGCGAAAGACGCCGACTCCTCCTCCTGCAGCAAAGGTCAAGGCGATGGCGAGGCTGCGGAGATAACCCATACAACGGGAGCTCGACTACGGGATAGGCGCGCTTACAGTGGTGATCGTAGCGTTCCTTAATGTTTGCTCGTGTTCTCTCTACTTGCGCATTCATGGGAAAAAAATGGCAAAAGTTTCACTAGTAAACATTGACAACAATGGTTGAACAAGGCAAAGCAATACAGACTACATCAGATGCTAGCAAGCATGGAGGTCAACCTCCAGCACAGCACGGTCGGCCGCGTTCCAATGCAGCAAGGTTGACCGCACTCTAGCAGTGCGAGATGGCAACCTGCCAGCGTTGCAAGTCAACGGCGTGCCAACGCTGCTGCAGGGCGGCTGCACAGCGTTGCACCTGCATGACAGCAGCGCACCCGCTTCGCTGGTGCTCACAGCTGGTTGGCGTTTTGTGCCCCATCACGTGCACAACGCAGACGCTAAGCCGACCACGTGCGCACGTCTGCACCTGATCCGCCACGTCGACCTTGGGATACCACGTCCGAGGTCAGCTTTGCCTGAACCACCTGGGCGACGATTGCACAGCTCCGCAGATCCACGTCGCCCGGGTAACTTGATCGACCGAGCAACCGGGTCCACGCCACCAGGCCGGCATCCTCCCAGGTCGACTCCCTCCCTTGTCGACCTCCTCCCGTCGATCACAGCGGATCTGGGCCGCCGACTTCGCAAGGTCGGCGACATCCCTAAGTTGGCGCCCCCCCCCCCCCCCCCCCCCCCCCCCCCCCCCCCCCCCCCCCCCCCCCCCCCCCCCCCCCCTCCCAAGTCGACGACCACCCTCATCGACCACGGTTGAAGTCGGCCGCTAGCGCCCTTTGTCGGCGGCTTCGTAGTGGCCCCGTGCAAGCTGACCGACATGTCGACCTGCGCGCTCATGTCGATGTCGCCCAGTGCAGTTGGTAGGCTGCACTCTCTGCACACCCGACTAAGAAGTCGGCTCCGCCCAAGCGAGGACGGGCCAACGCACAATTGCGGTTGACAGAGGCGTCGTGCTCGATGGTCGACGTTGTGGAGTCGACCGTATCGTCAGCATCGGAGATTGGCAAGGACTTCAAGGCGATCGCGGCCGCTATGCAGGCGAACTTGATGGTGGTGCTGGTGGCTGCTCTCACCATCTGATGGCGACGAAGGAGGCCTTTGTCAGAATCCCAGACACTAACCACTGGGATAAAAGGATTTGTTTGTGTAGCGGGTGAGTGCACCCATAACCCCCCAGGCCAACCTGCCTGTAACCTTTCCCTAGGATCAATCGGGGATCACCAGTGGACATCTGACACCCCCCCGCACTGGGATGCCCGGAGTGCACACACTGGAATTCGAACCCAAGACCTTCGCCCTGATACCATGTCAAAATCCCAGCCACTAACCACTGGGATAAAAGGGCTTGTTTATGTAACGGGTGAGTGCACCCATAACCCCCCGGGCCAACCTGCCCGTAACCCTTCCCTAGGATCAATCGGGGATCACAAGTGGACCTCTAACAGCCTTGTCGTCATGCAGCCTAGGGGCGACGTGCCCCACGTGCGTGGCTTCAACGGGGCACTAGAGATCGTCGAAGGCCGTGGCACCGTCACTCTACACATGGAGGCTGGGAAACAGGTCCTCATCCTCGATGTGCTCTATGTCCCGGGAGTGCAGGCGAACCTGCTCTTGGTCGCCCATCTGAAGGACAGCGGCGTGAGACTGCAGGACGCGGGCGACGAGATGCTGCTCGTGTCGTGTGCGGGCGAGGTGCTCGGTCAAGCACGCTACTGTACACTGGCTGCGTTCTCTGCACAGACTTTCGCCCCTGCTCGACGAAGCCGATGTCGATCTCGACGGAGGTCGTGACTCGGCGGACGATTGTTCCACGACGGCAGACGATTGCTTCTACGACAAAGTAGACGCCGAACAGCACGTGAAGCCCGAGGACGTCGGCGTCGACACGATCAAGAGCTTGGCCTTGATACCGTATCAAAGCGTCGGCAGATGTCAACTTGTCATGTGTTTCGTGCGTCAGCCGTGAGTTAGGCACATTCTATGAGGGTGTCCTACTTCAATACCAACCGTGCTAGGCAATCTGCTTCTAGTTTCTAATAGGCATTTGTATCACAACGGTTACTAATCATTCTTCCATTGTTCACATTCTGAGAAGCCTGGTCTGTAACCTCCACTCATCTGTAAAGGTATGTTTGTACGCCGCTATTAGGGCATGTTCCTAAGGCTCCTCACCGTATCAGGGATACCTCGTATCGGCTCCGCATTTTTGCCTGGTAAAATTTGACGCAAAGGTATTTGGGTTTAGGGAAATTTCAGTGTGCTGTGACGCGAGCCTGATAAAAGGTTGACTTGATAAGTAAGAACATGCCCTCAGACACATCTTGACAGCGTTGTGTGGTTAAATATGTTTCAGTGTAGACCACTTGCTATACTGTACGGTTAGACGCGAAGGTGACAACAGGTTTGCCTGACAAGGGGTTGTAACAATGCATTGTAACACATTCGCATAACCACCATCAACTATACACCCGCATACATCATCATCCTTGCTCTCCCAGTCATCCGACCTACGTCCAGCATTGCTCACTCCCACAGCTTCTCCACTTCCTAGCTGCACATGCTTGCTGTGATATACAATGCAACAAGCTTCTGCCCATCGAGCTGCCTGCACCCTGAGATGTAACCCAGCCTGCGCAAGAACCAAGCCTACCAAGCCATTCACCCACACCTGCACTGCACACTACTCACACTCTCACCCTCACTCCTCCACTCTCTCACTCTCTCCCACTCTCTCCCAATCTCTTCCACTCTCTCCCTCACACCACACCAATCAGCATCACTCCTTGCTGGCCATCTGCTCACTGAGCTCCCACAGCTTCCCAGCCAGCCCCTTGTCCTTGCTCAGAGCCGCCCCTTGCTCTTTTAGACGCCTCAAGAACCATTTTTGAAGCGTATTAAAAACACACCATTCAGCATTACTCCTTGTTCGCCATCTGCTCACTCAGCTCCCACAGCTTCCCAGCCAGCTTCATGTCCTTGCTCAAAACCGTCGCCTTGCCCTCGGCTGCCCGCACGTCTGCGTAGTAGCCCCCACTTGCACCCGCCACTGAGGGGTGCGCCGCCAGGAAGCATGAGGTGGCCGCACCCTGAGAGAAGGGAGGAGAGGAGAGTGGGGAGAGGAGGATACGGGGCGGTCAGGTGGAGGTGCAAGGAGTGTGTAGGGGGGGGGGGGGGGGGGGGGAGCGAGGCACAGGGTGTGTGCCTCGAGGCGGCACGATGTGAGAGTGGCTTGAGAGAGAGAGTGTGTGAGAGTAAGAATGGGCGGGGGGGAAAGGTTGAAAGATGAGGGAGCATGAGAAGTAGCCCCACTGGGCTTTGTTGCAGGGAGTGTGCACATGAGCATGGGGATAAGTTGGAACAACCATGCATGGGAAAGTACGCACACCCCCAACCATGCATGGGTGCGTGCGGGCACCCAACCATGCAGCAGTAACAGAGGGCGGTGGTGAGGTCAGGTGAGGTCAGGTGAGGTGAGGTGAGGGGAGGTGAGGTGAGGTGAGGTGAGTAGGGGTGAGGAGGGGTGAGGAAGGGTGAGGAGGGGTGAGGGGTTGGTGAAAGTAGAGGCAGCTCTTCTTCAATCTCGTCAAATCGCTCTTGCAGCAGGGTTGGTTGGAGGCATATCAGTAGGGTGCAGAGTAATATAGAGTGTGTGCAGTGCGGTGAAGAGCTACTTTAACCACTCCCCTAAGGTAATGTACGGCGAAGTGCAGTGAGGCGAGGTATAAAGTAGGTGGAGGTGGAGGGTACCTGAGGAATGGTCTTCATGAACCACTGGAACACCAGGCTGTACGCTCCCCCTGGTGGTTGGTTGCACAGCATGGCAGGGCGGCAGTGGACAGGCACAAGGACAGGACGAGTGGTAGTATGACAACAATGGGTGCTCAGCCAAGCCGACGCAGAAGCAGGCTGCAAGCAGCGAGCAGGAGTTACTGCAAAAGAACAAAGCATGCTTGTGCCAAACAGCTTCCATCAAACCATCAGCCCCTCAGACGCCCCTCCTTCCCCCTCTTTCTACACCACCTAATTACCTGGCCACCCCATCAACTATGTCCCAGGGTGTGCCTTGTAGAAGACACACCGGACAGTCGCTTACGGCACTCTGTAGCACGCAAGGCTTTGCCTTGTACCTCAAAACGATATTGGCTCCGCGGAACAAGTTCGACACACGTCGCACTTGCTTTCGCGGACTGGTCTAACAGACCAGTATCAACCCCTGCCATTTTCCATGGCGGCCCTGTATAAATGGCTCCGACCCAAACGAACCAGGCCTCAGACCAGTTGTGTTACATGGTAACTATCTAGTGCACTTGCATTGTCCAAGATCTGGCTCACAGCTGGTTCACCCTGGTCCACAGACTACACTGCTTGGACCTCAGCAAACCAACGGTTCTGCAGACCCCATGTGGCATGCCCTAACGCACTCTGCCCTTCCCACCCACCCGCACAGCACACCCGCCCACCGCCCCACGTACGTCCGAGGGTGTGCCAGATGGTCCCTGGTGGCACAATGTGACATGAGAGGTTGGTGTCGATCACCCCCCGGGTGCAACGCGTTCACTGTCACTCCTGCACCCTCCTCCTGCTCGCATGGACCAAGGGAGAGAAGGGAAGGGGAGAGAGGGGAGGAGGGAGGGTGATGGAGGGTGTTGGCGAGGGAAGCAGGTGGGTTTTCCATTGTTGAAGGATCAATCACCCATGGGTACAGAGCATTTACAGTCAAACCTGCACTGAGGTTTTCAAAACAAACAAAAAAAAATCATAAGGGAGAGTGGGGAAGAAGAGGAAGAGATTTCTGGTGAGGAATTTGAGACGTAGCATGAAATGTGCTTTTAGGGCGCGTTTCCCCTGCCTGCTTCTTCCCTTCCCTCCCACTAATGCACACTCTCACGCACACATCCGCACACATACATACCCACCCACCCACCCAACTACACTCACACACACACCCACTCACTCACACAACACCCACATACCCACTCCTGCTTGGCAGTTTCCTTGAGCTTCGGCAGCAGCAGGTTGGTCAACAGGAAGTGGCCTAAAGGGGGTACGACGTGCGATGCCATTGGGTGGGGGGTGTGTGCAGGGGAAGGGGGGAAGGGGGTGAAAGGGAAGAGAGGGGGAGGGGGGGCGGAGGGACGGAAGAAAGGGGGAGAGGGAGGCAGTGGAGGTGTGGTGCGATCAGCCTGAGAGCTCCATGAGCTTAGGAATGCAACAAATGCACTCGAGCCTAGAAAGAGAACAGCCAACTGGTAGACTCTTCTTCACTCCCACCACTCCCATTCTTCCCTCACACTCCACCCCGCCACCCATGCTGTGCGCATGTAATCTGCTTGCTTGCCTCACCCACGTCATTACTGCTCCCCTGCACTCACCCTCATGGTCGCTACTCCCCTACACTCACCCACGTGGTTGCCTCCCTGCACTCACCCACGTGGTTGCCTCCCTGCACTCACCCACGTGGTTGCCTCCCTGCACTCACCCACGTGATTGGTGCCGAACTGGTTCTCATGGCCGTCCGCAGTGAGCACGAACGGGCATATCATCACGCCCGCATTGTTGCTGCCCGGGGTGGGGTGGGATGGGGAGGGGTTGGTTGAGATTGGGTGGGCCGTGGTGGGATTGGTTGGGCAGGCGAGTGGGGGGTTGTTGCATAGGAAGTGACGAAGGGAAGGGGACGGTGGGGTGGGTTCGGGGAGAGGGGGAAGGTCTGAACGAGAGGAATAAATAAGGCGAAACAGTAGAATGACTAGCATAAAGGGTAGGTAGGCAGGGAAGCAGGGAGGGAGGGAGCGAGGGAAGGAGGGAAGTGTGTTGTGATGGGGCACGGGGCAGCATGGCAGTGGGGCAGCATGGCAGGGGGGCAGCATGGCAGTGGGGCAGCATGGCAGTGGAGCAGCATGGCAATGGAGCAGCATGGCAGTGGGGCAGCATGGCAGTGGGGCAGCATGGCAGTGGGGCAGCATGGCAGTGGAGCAGCATGGCAGTGGAGCAGCATGGCAGTGGAGCAGCATGGCAGTGGGGCAGCATGGCAGTGGAGCAGCATGGCAGTGGAGCAGCATGGCAGTGGAGCAGCATGGCAGTGGAGCAGCATGGCAGTGGAGCAGCATGGCAGTGGAGCAGCATGGCAGTGGAGCAGCATGGCAGTGGAGCAGCATGGCAGTGGAGCAGCATGGCAGTGGAGCAGCATGGCAGTGGGGCGGCATGGCAGTGGGGCGGTATGGCAGTGGGGCAGCAGGGCAGTGGGGCAGCATGGCAGTGGAGCAGCATGGCAGTGGAGCAGCATGGCAGTGGGGCGGCATGGCAGTGGGGCAGCATGGCAGTGGGGCAGCATGGCAGTGGGGCAGCATGGCAGTGGGGCAGCACCAACAGCAGATCATTTAAACTCAACTGAACCTGTTATCATAGAAGCCCAATGCCCCTCCATTTACCCCATTCCCCCTATTCCTCCCATTCCCCTCCTCCCGCCCCTCCACCCCGTTCCGCCCCTGCCCTCCCCCTTCTTCACCCACTCACCCCCTCCCCCTCCCTCGCCCCCTCCCCTCCCCCCCGCACCCCTTCCATCTCCGCGCGTACATGAGCAGGTGCAGCGGGCGGTTAAGGCGCAAGTAATCCGCGGCGAACGCGCGCACCGACTTGAGCGACGCCAAATCCAGCGGCATCACGCTCACGCGCTCGCGCACCGCCGCCGGAACCCCCGCCGCCGCTGCGCTCCGCCCCTCGATGTCCTTGATGATGGCGGCTTTGGCGGCCTCCCCCGCCTCCGTGTTCCGCACCGCGGGCACCACGGACGCGCCTCGCAGCGCCAGCACCCGCGCCGTCTCCGTGCCGATGCCGCTGCTGCCGCCTGGGGGGAGGAAATTCGCGCCAGAAGGGTGTCGGGAGAGGGGGAGGAAGAAGAAATTAGCGCGGCGGAAAGAGAGAGGGGCGACATGCGCGCGTGGGGAGAACATTGGCACGAGGACGAGGTTCGCGCGGGAAGGGGAATTCGCGGGTGCTGACTGAATTTGGGCGCGGGGGAGGAGGAAGGCTGGAGTGGAGGACTGAATTCTTTTCAGACATGGCACAAAGAGCTTCGAAGGCGTCTTACACGCTTTTTCACAATGGCGCGGGGAAGAGACTAGGGTGGAAAAGAGAGGGGAGTGGAAGTACGGGCAAGGACGAGAGGACGAGAAGACGGGCGGACGAGCGGACGAGCGGATGAGAAAGATCAGTTTGATAGGATGAGCATGAAATACCCAACACAAATTATTTCTTAGTATGCACCTTACAAAGCCGATACTAGTAATGTGTTGGGCTGAGAAAAGCCCTTAGGATCTTTGGAGGGGTGAACTCTGGGTAGGATCAATGTAATAGCGGAAGCGTTTTGAAGAGATTGTGAACCACCTTGCGCTAGTATGTGAGGGCAAAGTAAGTTGATTAAAACAAAGAGATGCAAGATTATATAGGAGTACAAGGAATATGAAAGGATACGGTTATAACAGTTTTACTGTTGCTGTTGCGGTTCGATACAGTGACGACTCGGGCAACTGCTCTGTAGTGAGTCAGTTGTGTGTCCTTGCTGTCGCGCTGTACTTGTCAAGTCAAAGGTCGCTGACCTTTGACTTTCGCGTAACCTCCAGCAGTTACTTCAACCTCCGAGGGTTGACTCGCTGGTGCCTCGATATGCTTTGCTTCGCTTCTGCCTTAGTGTTTCGACACGAGAGAGGCGCTTAACCATAATTGTTTCCAACACTCCCCTTCGCTTCTTGAGTGTCGCTGTTGGTGACGTGGCTTTGTCCAGTCAGCAGCATGCAGTACTCGAACTTCTACTTTCCGAGCTTCTTTGTCAAGTAGTCAGCTGCCATCTCGGACGTGGGGCAGTATGACAGCTCAAGCCTTCCTTTTTCGATCTCGTCCTTCACGAAGAAGTATCGCAGGGCGATGTGTTTCGTCCTGTTCGCGAAGCCGTTCTTGTTGGCAATGCGAATTGCCAACTGGTTGTCGCAGAACAGAGTGAAGCTGGGTAACTGAGCCAGCTTCGCTTCTTCCAGCAGTTCGCGAAGGTAAAGTCCTTCCTTGGTGGCTGAATAGAGTGCGATATATTCTGCTTCAGCTGACGAGAGGGCTATTAATTCCTGCTTGCTCGACTGCCAAGAGATAGGTCCGATAGGTTCGAGGCGGTATATGTAGCCAGTGCGAGAACGCCGGTTGTTGGAGTCGCTTGCGTGATCGGCGTCGACGTAGCCGATTAACTTAGGCGGCGTAGTTGCGTTCTTGTAGTAAGTTAGACAAATCGTCGGGGTGCTAATGAGATAGTGAAGAGCGCGGTTGAGTTCTGCTAGATGTTCCGTTTCGGGCCTCTTGAGGTAGGTGGCAAGCTGGCTTGAAGAGTACGATAGATCGGGACGACAGGTGACAGCTGCGAAGAGAAGGCAGCCCAGCTTTCTCTGGTACTCGCGTATGTCAGAATGTTATGCTCTAGCCTGTAGTGGGGTGCTCTATAGCGAATACAACCCTTCTAGGGTTTGCTATTTGTATCCTCATTCTTGTGAGTGCAACGCTCTCCTTCTAAACTTTCACATGGTATCAAAGCAGGTCGATCCCCTTGGATCGATCCTGTGGGTAGGCTCACCACCTCGTTGCTTCCGCTGCAACTGCTACTGCTAATCTATGTGCCGCACGCCTCGTGGCGTGCGGCAGTTTTTCTTCCCGCCGTGCGCCCCGAGGCACGCGGCGGTTTTCTGGGCAATTGTACGTGCACTTCGAAAATAGGCGTTGTGCTCGAAAATAGTAAGTGCTCGGGTTGTGATGAGGCGTAAACGGTCGATGTGGTAAGTCACCTTTGAGAAGAAGTGAACGAGAATGGATGAACTATGAATGAAGTGAGTACAAATATGAAACCCTAATTGGGTTGTACCCCCTATGGGATACCCCACTATAGCCTACACAAATAAGTAAGCTATATGTTCTGACACACCCCCATAGGCAAAGTGGGGGAGAACAAGGGGTCACAAGACCAGTCAAGCAAAGCAAAGCAAAGCTCAGGGTGGATCACAAAGTCACCACACATTCCGAGCACAAGTTCAAGCGCCACAAGGCCAGTTCACATGCAAGATCATATATAGAGATATACAAGAGTCAAGCATGCAAGAGCAAGAGTATATATAGGTCAAGGTACAAGCAAGGTCAAGAAGTGAGCAAGTGAGGCAAGACAGGCACAAGACCTAGCTGCGTGCAGCAACGCTGATGAAAACAAGGCGCAAGTGCCTTGGTGAAGACATCAGCAGTGTTGGCCTCAGAGGCCACGTACGCAAGTCGCAACTGTCCACGCTGTTGTAGCTCACGAGCAAGAAAGTAGCGGAGAGCAATGTGCTTTGTCCTGTGCTCCACACGCTGCTCTCGACAAAAGGCCAGCATGGCCTTGTTGTCTACGTACAGGACTGGAGGAGAACGAGGCGGCTCTCCTAGGTCGGTCAGCAGCTAGGTGAGCCAGCGAAGCTCCTGAGCAGCCATAGCCCCGGCGTAGATCTCAGCCTCACAACTGGAGCCGAGAACAGAAGACGAGCGAGTAGCCCGCCACGAAACAGAGCCGGAACCAAGGCCGAAGGTGTAACCCTGTGACGACCGCTGCGTAGCCTGGTCATCAGCCCAAGAAGCGTCCGCGTGCCCAGTGAGGACCACTGGACTGCGCGCTCCAAGCACTAGCCCCATGCCCGACGTACTGCACAAGTAGCGCAACACCCTCTTCGCTGCAGCCATGTGCTCTGGTCGGTGTCTCTCAGGAGCAACATAGCGTGCGAGAACGCTGAGAGGGTATGCAAGGTCAGGTTGTGTGCAGGTCATCAGGTACATGAGGCAGCCAACAAGCTCTGGGTACGGGCCACTCGACTCTACGGACTCATCCGAAGGCAGAGCTGAAAGCGAGTGGCGAGTAGGCAGAGGAGTGGCCTAAGGCGAGGAGTACGTGAAGCCGAAGCGCTGAAGGACCTGCTGCACCATGTGTGACTAAGTCAGGGTAATGGTGCGGCGTGCTCGGTCCCGGGTGATCTGCAGGCCAAGGTAGCTGCGCAGTTCACCCAGGTCAGTGCACGTGTGTCTCTTCTGCAGCTCGGACTTCACGTAGGCGAGTCCAGCAGTGTTAGCTGTGGCAAAGACCAAGTCGTCGACGTACACGAGGATGTAGAACGGCGGCAGAGAGGTGTCGGTGCGCAGAAATAGCGACGGGTCGGCAGTGGAAGGAGCAAACCCAAGTGCCGCAAGCGTAGTCCTCAGTGTGTCGTGCCACTCACGTGGTGCCTGGCGGAGACCGTAAACTGGACGCCGGAGACTCCACTGGGTACTAGGAGGGAAAGACCCAGTGAAGCCAGGTGGGCGACGCAGCCAGATCTCCTCGTGCAGGCTGCCCTGCAAGAAAGCAGTGCTGAAGTCGAGAGAGTGCAGCTCGTAGTCACGGTGAGCACCAACGTGCAGCAGTACCCGAAGAGTGGTCATCTTCAGGGTGGGGGAGAAGGTCTGAAAGTAGTCAACTCCCTGCCGCTGAATGAAGCCACGAGCCAAGTACCGC